TTTGTACTTTTTTCCCATAAAAAACCTTTCCGATTTTTTTACGCAGTACTTTTTTTTTTCGGTATTCGTGTTTGTTCCCTTATTTAAATTTTCAAAAAATTTTGGCGTTGCCCGGGCGTTAAAAAAAGCTTTTTAGGGGATGGTTTCCGGTTCATTCCCGGATTTGTTCTTTTGGAGCAGCAGGTGCAGGCCTTTCCCCCATTCCCCCCCTTTTTCCCAGGGGGTAATCCCCGAGTTAAAGAAGATCACTTTGGGTTGGGGCACATCCCCAAAAGGGGGAGGTTTGTTTTTGGGGTAGAGTTTTTGGGAGTTATTAATGTAAACCCATCCGGTATTCTTTAGCCTTTTGCCTTCACACCCTTAAAATCCCGGGAGGGAGGAATATCCCGGTTTTTCCCCGTTACCCCAGGTTTTTTTGTAAAAGGATAACCCAAATTCTTCTTGGGGGGGGGGGGGGGGGGGGGCACGAGAGGCCTTCGCGGGTACCCGGTCTGCATTTTTCTCGACTGTTACGGTAGCGTGACATTGGTTGTCTGGTGTGTTTCTACTACTGCTGTGTGGTGGTGTTCTTTGGTACGTTCATAAGGGTAGGCGTGTTTCGTTCCATCTATCTGCCATTGACGGTCTACCCCCAATCCCATGCCCAGGAAGTGCTCGTTCGTAAAAGATGCAACTCAAGTCGTTGGTCGCGGTTTTGCCAGAGGGGACGAACAAGGAAAAACAAGACTGGGTGGCCAGGTGGGCGAAGACCCATATGAGCAATACACACGAAATGCACGCACAAAATGTAGCGCCGATGAGGGCGTGTCAGCATCCATAATCTTACTCACCGTGACGTCATCCCTGGCCTCCATCTCCCTCAGAATCTCGAGGGCCTCCTTCCACCTGCCGACCAAAAAAACAAAGACAAAAAACAAAGACAAAAAACTATGAATGAAAATGAAACGTCAGAAACAAGCAAGTAAATATCAAACTCATGGGTGCCATCAGAAAAAAAAGCCAAGTTTCTCTCGAAAACGGCACGACGGTGCCAACTCACCGATACGCAACACCGCACCATCCACAGAGACGGGCAGTTTGCAAAGGCAAGGGGAGGTAAAAACACACATGTTGATTGGTTGAAAGTGACAGTGCTAACCTTCCCGCCGTCGGAGACAAAAGGGGCCATAAAAAGCATGCACGTGCTCTCCTTCACGTTGTTGAAAATCAGTTAATTTTGAGTTCGGTATCAGAAGTACACGTGGTCGCTCTGGTTCAGCCCGCTGCGATAGCTTATCACGTCATATCTCCCCCCTTCTCTCGTCAACTGTTAGCCCGACTACATATTGTTACCTGCCCTTCCGGCCGCAAGCGCCTATGGCCGCTCCGTACGCCACTACATCCACGTCCATCGACTGGAGGTGCATGGACTTGAGAATCCGCCGGGCCATTTGCCAGTTACCCTCGACCTGACACGGAAAAAGAACAAAACACAAACACAAAAAAAACGATTGTTCATTAGCAGCAGTTGTAGCAATAGTATCAGCTGATATACATGCAAGCTTTAGACGGCTTGACACCAGCAGTCTCTCACGCTGTTGACTGAAAATCGTCAAGCCCCGACATCGTTCTCTCGCATTGTTCAAAGTACAATACTTTCCCCAAGCCTGCCCTTATTTTGACCTCGTGTGCGATATGGAATATTATTCTTGGAATCGCCCTCGCCACGCCACACCAACATTTTTCATTGAACTCAGGCGCTACGGTATGTAGTGACAAGTTCCAGCGCAGAAACGCCTCATTCTACCCTCGAAATAAACCTGGTACACTGAAAGGAGTCTACTTATGGTACACGTGTAGATAGTATGGTCCAAAATCGCGCAAGGAATCGGTTACACCGCACCTCGCAACCCTTGAGGGTCTCGTGGTAGCAGTTGCGGTAGCCGGTCTGGCTCCTGGGCTGCACGAGGATGCCGTCTCTTGCGTTGGCCGACAAGAGGTTCTCAAGGCCTTGGAACATCACCAACACGTCCTTGTACCTGTCCTCTCTCGCGAACCCCAGGATCATGTTGACGAACGTCCGAATGTCGTACTGGAGACCAACCTTCAGCGCGCGGGGGGGGGGGGGGTCAGGCGAGGGAGGCGTGAGGCGTGAGCCACAAGGGACGAGAAAAAGAGGAAAATACAAAATACCGTCATTGATTTCTCGGCATCCTATCGTACGGCACCCCGCTTAAAAAAAAGTTCCGAATCTGCCCACCGCTGCCGTGTCGAACAGGCTGCGGCCTCAACTCGTCGTCTCCCCAAAACACTTCCTATCCAGCATCATCATCATCATCATCATCATCATCATCACCATCATCACCATCATCATCATCAGCAGCAGCAGCACAACAGAGCACAATGTCAACGCTTACCTCAGCCATCTCCGTGAACTTTTGGGTGGCCAGGTCCAGGCGGCCGCTGAACGTGTAGACGCTGATCAGGGCGTTGTAGGTGAACTGGTTAGGAGCAATGTTTTCCTCCGGGGGAGCTTGCTGCATCTCCTCGAACAGGGCCTGCGCTCGCTCCCATTCCCCTCTCTTGAAGAAAAAAAATAACAGGAACAGGCAACTCACATCAACATCGTACAATCAAAGCTCACGGTGAAAGGCTGCGCAAGGGGTTTGAAGAACTGAAGCTAATTCCCGACCGACAAAGATGCTGCCATGGGGGTGCTTTCAACATGAATAGTGAAGAGAATTTAAGTTTATTCCGACCGGAAAAAGGCTGCAAAGAGGGTGCGTATATTACGAACATGGTATAACATAGATGGAATTTGAGGTCATTCCGACCGGTAAAGCGATGCACCGTGTGTGTGTGTATTCTGCAC